AATAAGAGGCAGAAATAACTTCTAGTTTGCAGAACAAGGTTTATATCTGCAAGGAAGTGAGTGTAACTCAGCAGCTATGAGCTGCAGGACAGACATTATTAGCCACATGGACTTAGACTTTATCAAGACAGGAAGAGGGACACGGGAACAAAGAACAGATGGAAACCTGAAAACAAACAGCTCCGATTTCTACAGAACCTTAGCGATCATGACAGTACCATGCAACGGTGCAGTCACTCCAATGAACAGCCGTCTATTAGATTTAATACAGAACAATCAAGAACTAACTACACGAAAGATATCCTATGTAATAAAAGCCTAGGTGGCATCACGCCCTTGCACGTCACCCTTGTGTGAGGTCGTCACAAGAGCCCGCCCTCATGTCGTCACAAGATGGGTGGCAGGGGAGCGCAGTTGTTGGCAATCAGGCCAGCAGGGGAGGGTAGTTGGGAGCGAACAGGCCATCAGAGGAGGGGAGTTGGGGGTAAACAGGGCAGCAGGGGAGCAGTTAGGTGTCAATCAGGCCAGCAGAGGAGCAGTTAGGGGGTGATCAGGCTGGCAGGCAGAAGTGGTTAGGGGAGATCAGACAGGCAGGCAGGTGAGCAGTTAGGAGCCAGCAATCTCAGATTGTGACAGGGATGTCCAAGGGGTCCGAGATTGGAAAGGGTACAGGCCAGATTGATGGACTCACCGATCCCATGCACGAATTTTGTGCACTGGGCCTCTAGTTTTAAAAATAAAGACCCAGCTGTAAAAAGGGAAGGGTGAGAGAAGGTCGACCACACAAGCACCACCCCTAAGAATGATTAACAAACGCAGACGATAGGACAGAAACATTCATAAGAGAAAGAATGTGGGCGAATGAATCAAAACAACGCAATAATCCTCACTGGCTAAGTCCACGCCTCAATCACACAACTTCAAAAGTTTCCAAGAATGCACTGTCAGAAACAGGAGAATCAGTGAATTCCTCAATTTCAGTTAGATATTTTTTTTTTGGTTTAATAGTTTTATTAATTGCAGAGAGGAAAGGAGGGGGAGAGATAGAAACATCAATGATGAGAGAAAATCATGGATAACCTGCCTCCTACTCACCCCACACTGGGGATGGAGCCCGCAACCTGGGCCTGTGTCCTGATTGGGAATCGAACCCTGACCTCCTGGTTCATAGGTTGACGCTCAGCCCCACTTAGGTACTCCAGCCGGTCATGATGTACCTTTTAAATCAATACAAGTAGTAAAGTTCCAAGTAGATATGAGAGAGAGATAGATAGAGAGAGAGAGAGAGAGAGAGAGAAAGAGAGAGAGAGAGAGAGAGAGAGAGAGAGAGAGAGAGG